AGATACCTCACTCAGCATAATGTCCTCCAGGGTCACCCATTTTGAATAATATTGCATGAGTTCCTTGTTTTTCAATGCAACATAGTATTCCATTAGCACTAGCTTTTGAAACTCAACACAATACTACATCTATAACCTCTCGTGAGGTGCCCAGGTGAGAGAAGAGGAATTCGCAGTAGTGGTGTTGGAGGAGAGTACTGGATATCCCATGGGCTGCCAAAAGAACGGACAATTATGTCTTGGAGAAAGGGCAACTAGGGTGCTTCTTAGAGTCAATGATGATGACACTTCACCTCACATCCTTTGGGCGTGTTATTAGGAGAGCTCAGGCCTTGGAAAGGGACATAAAACCAACGGGGCTCTACTCTGGCCTAGAAGTCAAAGCCAACTCCATGGCAGGTCCTCAGAAGACTTCTGAGTGGTGCCGATGATTAACACCTTTCGGTTATTACCTAAAAGGTTGGAGGTTTGAATCTACTTAGAGGGTTCTCAGAAAAAAGGCCTGATGATTGACTTCAGAAAACTTTGCTACTAAACACCTCAGAACACAGTTCTGCTCTGACATGATGGAGTTGCTGAGTCAGAGTTGACCCAATAGCAACTTTTAAATGTTTTCAAAGACTTTTGGGACTTTGAGTAATTTGGTATAGAACATCACGGACATGGTTGTATTCTAGAGACATGGGTCGTGGCCTTGGGTCACTTCTGGAAGAGATGAGCTCTGCCTGGAGGGCTGCACTTGGGGTCTTTTGGACCCACTCAAGTCATCACTGGTTCAGAGTCAAGGCTGGAGCTGTGCTGTAGACCAGTGTGAGGGTAGAGCAGCAGCTGTGATTCCTGCTGATGGCCGGGGCGTCTAGTCACAGACTCACCCAGAACTTATAGTTCCTACCCTAAACTTGAAGCTGGGACAGTAAGAGTTGTTTAGAGCCTAGTGGCAAGAAGCTACACTGCAATCCCAGAGGAATACAGTTTGAATCCACCAGATGCTCTGATGGAGAAAGAGGGGCAATCTTCTCCTGTACCAGTCAGATCTGATTTGATGGTACACATACACACATACAAAAAAAAATTATATATATGTATATATAGTAATAATAAGGAAAGAGTTGTTTATGAACTATTGCTTGGGAGTAATTGAACTTAAAAGATGATATCTCAGGGTAATCCTAGCAGGTCCCCTAACATTCCCAGGAAACACCGAGCTTCCATTGTTACTCATGTAAAATGAGCAAATGGTTATGTGTGGAGGGAGAAATTATGAAGCAAATACACGTTGAGTGCTTGATGTCAGCTGGCTGGTGGAAATGAACACAGTGTATAGCACAACTGTTATCTTTTTACCTTAATTAATTATAACAGACATTTAACATGTTCAAGCATCAAGCCAAACATCTGGGGTTTTATGTATGGTGGCAGTTAGCCAACTGTTTACTTTCTTTCCCTGCTTTCCAAGTGAGAGGAGGGCTCGCTGGGTCTGGCTCATTCTTAAGCTTGGGAAATCAGAGGCCATGTGATCTCCAGCCCTGCTGTTTGCTCTTATGGGTGGAGGAATATACGATGTTCTGATCGATCAAATAGAGCTGTTTTGAGAAGGGAATTTGATACAATGAAGAGAGCAACCTTTTAGGAGTTATGGAAATGAGTCATCAAAATTCACCCTTTCCCTGTGGACCATCCTGTGATGTTGGACAACTCCTGAACTTGGGCCTTGCTTTCATGCTCGAGATGAACATGCAGTAAAGGGTATTAATGACTTCCACCCTGCTTTGTTCTCAGGGCTGCAAAAGAATAACACAAGGCCACGTGTGAGAACTCATACAGTAAACTCTGCGTGTTTTAGAAATTGTCTATGCTGGTAAGCATCTCTCTAAGGTGTTAAGGAACAGTGATCTCAGTTTAAAGACTAAGGTGCGTCTGATTCAAGCCATGGCATTTTCAATTGCTATATGCATCTGGAAGTTTAGACAATGACTAAGGATGACAAAAGAAGAATCAGTGCCTTTGAGTTGTGGTGTTGGAGAAGAGTACTTAATATTCCGAGGACTGTCAAAAGAAGAGATATGTTTTAGGAAAAGTATAGCCACCGTGCTCTTTGGAGATAAGGATCTCACATATATTGGGCATATTGTTAGGAAAGGCCTGTCCTTGGAAAGGACATCCTCCTTAGAAAGGTGGAGGGTCAGCAAAGGAGAGGGAGATCCTTAACAAGATGGATTGACACCGTGACTTTAAAAATGGGCTCAAGTATATCAGGTGATGCGACTCAGGAGAGAGCAGGGTTCAGATCTGTCGTTCACAGGGTCACTATGAGTCATAGTGGACTAAAAAGCACCTAACTACAACAACCCACCCCTCCATCCCAAAATATTTTTGTTGTTGTCAATACTTTGTTTTCTTTATGATATCTTGAAATATTTTAAGTGCATACATGTGCCAGGCTTTGTGTTTGACTGGGTACAGGATAGTGAGTGAGACAGCCACCCTTCCCTCAAGGAGGTATGCAGTCTAGTCTTGAAGATGAGCTGTTGTTGTCCTGGAAGGCTACGTGAGCAGCCCGATCTGGTGAGGAGGAGCTGGTGGGTTGAAGACAATTATTGTTTTAAGTCAGAGATTAGAGAGGTTTTGGTTATTTTTTTGCAGCACCTGGAAGAGAGTCTTGGGAAGATTTGTGTAGCGCAGCTGTGGACTTGATGGGAAATCACAGGGCCCTGGCTTTCTTGAGGAGAGAGTGAAACCCCAGGCAAGTATGTGTGCTTGCTGTGTTTGGCTGGAGGACGCGGAGAGGCCATGTGGGAACAGGCCCAGTGCAGCTGACACAGACTTCAGAGTGTGAGAAGGGAAGCTTCTTCTGGTTGCTGGCTCTGCACTTATCATCAGCTTAAATCAAGATCCTGTTTTGTCCCAGGTGGTTGGACTAAAGCCGTCTTCGCCTCGGGGGGAAGCTCTTGCTTAAGCGATACATGGTGGTTTCATGTAGGCCCTTCCTTTCCAGGGTTTGTTTTCATATTTCTTTAATTATGAAAATTTAGGTCTGCAAAGAGAATAGAGAGATGGACCCCCAGGTGTCCACCTCCCAGACTAATAGCAAGATTTTGCCACATTTACTTCACCTCCCACCTCCATCTAAGTCACCAGGCTCTATAACAATTTAACTCTTGAATACTTCACTTAAACTTCTCTGAAAATATGGACATTTTCTTAAACAATCTTGATGCCAAGATCACATTAGAAATCAGGGATTGTAAAAAATTATTTTTTAAAAAATATCACTTATTCCACATTTTATTATAGAAAAATCCAAGCATAAATAACAAAGTTGCATGAAGAATTTTGAAGTGAATGGCCATGAATCAGTCAAGAAAGCTCTTCCATTAATACTACAGACTTTTTCATCTATTCTTCCCACTATAAACTGCCCATCAGATTTCTGTATTTCAAAGTAGAGGGTAGAGATCAGTAACATCTTCCTTACATAGTTCAGCATGTGTATCATTAGCTACAGTTTAATATTTGGTTTAATATGAAATTTACAAATAATGCTGTTGTTAGGAGCCATTGAGTCAATTCTAACTCAGTGATCTTATGTACAACAGAATGAGACACTTGCCAGGTTCTGTTGTTGTTAAGTGCTGTAGTCATAGATGGCCCATAGTGACCCTATGAATGAAAGTCTTGAACACAAAACTTTCATCTTTTCTCCAAGTTCATAGAGTTTCTGGAGGCAAGTTTTTGTTTTTTTTTTGAAGTGAATGCCACTCCTGCTTTCAAGCTTGTTTTATTTGGGAGATTCATAAAAAAAGCAGGTTCTGAGGGCCACAAACCCAAGGGGCCAAAAGCTTTTTTAAATATGAGGCCAAATCCAACCAGCTCACACCCTGTTGTGAGCAACAGCCACATCCTAGTCTCAATCCCAAACCAGAAAACACACCTTTGCAGAATCAGGTTGTTCCACTCATCTTCCCATCCTGGAAACAGCCCCAGACTGGCAACCAAAAGACTTTTTAAATACTAGGCCAAATCCAATCAGCTCACACTCAGGTGCTGTACTACCCCCATGTTTGTTGCTTTGTGTAAGCCATTGTTACAGTCACTTACATGGTTTAATGCCAACCAAGTATTTCTGGTAGAGTGGCTCAATGCATTGTTTCTGTCTTCTTTTGATGATGCTGTTCTGGACTGTTTAATGCTGTCCCATGGTGTCCTTGAGGTTTGGAGTTGTTTTTCAATTCTTTCAGTTTTCTAATGCCACGTCTTTGCACATTTCACATTTCTATACTTTACATTGTCTTCTGGAACATCCAAAATCTTCTGGTCAGCTCTTTTACCTCATTGTTTATTACATTTGCTTTAGCTACTCTGTGATTAAGAGCAAGTTTCAGAGTCTATTCTGGCATCCATTTTGGTCATTTCTTTGTTGTCTTTTTCTTTTGTTTTCTTTATGCATGATGTGCTACCCCTTGTCTGGTTTCAGTCATTAGTGTTCATTGCACCAAATTTTTCATTGGGATAATCTC